TCAGAATCAGAATCAGCTTTATTCGCCAAGTGTGCGCAAACACACAAGGAATTTTAAGAAGCTCTTGGTACATACATGCATACATACATACATACATACATATATACATACATATCTGACATGAGAACAGAAACATTTAAATAAGACTTAACAATAAATAATAATGTGTATGAATCTGGAACAGAAGATTAATGTACATATTTGTGCATTAATTACTCTATATATACAGCTGTATAAAAAAAATATGCATATGTATTTACATAGTACTTGAGAGAGAGGCAATAATTAGAGATGGAGATGGCATGGGGGAAAAGGTGAAGATGGATGATAGCTGGACAGCACAGGCTTTGAGGCAGGCTGGAGAGACACCGTCTGGGCCTTTGGCTTTCCTTATCTTCTGTCTCCTGAAGACTTTGCTTACATCATCTTCACAGATCTTGAGTACAGTTTGAGAAACAGTAGGGGGGAGGGAGGGGGAGGGTGTTGATGACTGTGCTGTGAGACGGTCGGAGTGGGTGTGGGGTGTCAGACCAGGCTTTTGCTTTTCAAACCTGCAGTAAAACTCGTTCAGGTCTTCAGCCAGTTGTTGATTGGCCTCAGTGCTTTTTGTTTCTTTAGCTTTCCAGAGTATGATGATGTATAAATCTCAATTTCAAAAACCAAAATTGACCCATATGACTGGTTTAGTGGTCCAGGGTCACATATGTGTTTTCTGAATTTCTGACAGTATTTATGCACAATAGGCCTATTTATATTCTTATTTTGCTAGTACTCAGATAATGTATCTTTTAAGCATGTTTATTAACATTGTGAATTTTATTATTATTATTAATCATAATTATTATTAACCATAATTTTTTAATATATTGTATTAACTATATATTTGTAATAATTGCTATTATTATTTTAAATTATTATTATTATAACTTATAATAATATTGTCAGCATACGGTGTGTACCAGGAATAGGACTGAAGAATCAGAGTGCAATTCAAACACGGAATACTTTAATAAACCACTCAGGAACTAAACATGACGGAGAACGGACCCAGACTAAGGGAGAGCTGAGGGCTTATAAGCAAGAACCAAACAAAGGGAACTAATGAGATGATTAATCAACACAGGTGGAAACTAATTAACTAATCAGGGAACACAGTATAGGTCACCGGCAGGAAGAACAGAAACAAGGGAAATCTAAACAGAAACAAAACATAAACGTGACAAATATATTATAATAATTATAATTATTTTTATTAATATTATCTTGTTTTAAGCATTTTTAAATTCTTTTTTTTGAAAACAAGACAAAGATATCAAATAAGAATAATATTTTTTTTGCACTGTAATAAATTAAGACATAATATTTGCTTTGTTTTGATGGTGTGTGTGTATAATAGTATTCTGTAGTATAGTATTCTTTATTTTAATGTTCTTGTATTTGTTTTTGCAGTATTAGTTTTTTTTTTCTAATATTTGATTTTCATATTCATAGCAATTGAGTATTGGGCAAAATATCATCATCTTCTATTAAGAAATATTGATATTCACAGCTGAAATCACTCATTAGTTGAATATCGGTCTCCAGACTCCAGACCAGGCGAATTATAATCCTTAACAGCTCTTTAACTGACAATGAAACAAGGCGGACATGATTATATCTGTAAGACATTCCCTCTCAAGGCACTTTGCATGTCCTTGTTGTTTGCTGTGACAGTGACTTATTCTTCAGGTGAAGAGGTGCTCAGAGCTTCACATAATGAGAGGGACAATAATCGTCAAGCAAAATGTGCAATTGAGAAATCACAACATCATGCCTTCTTTCCCACCCTGATGCCTTTTCTTTTTTTTCTCTCTTGTAGTTCAGTATCAGATGGAGATGATGAGAAGTTTGCGCCTTGTAAATATTGATCATCTTCATGTGGGTTGGTACCAGTCAACCTTCTATGGTTCTTTTGTCAGCCAGGCCCTTCTGGACTCTCAGTTCAGTTACCAGCACGCCATCGAGGAGTCAGTTGTGTTTATATATGTTAAACTTAGTTTCACTCTCTCTCTAAAAACTGCGCTAGACTGTATTAATAACTGCATTATCAAAGCATTAACTGTATTATCAATGCATAATCATTTGCTCTAAAATCTCTAAAATGACGTATTAGAATTATCAATGTAGGCTTATCATTCCTTTTATATATATATATATATATATATATATATAAAAACCATAAGAGGAATAGAAATACATTACATTGTTTCAATTTTAAAAAATTGAAGAAAAAAAAATCTAATCCAATTTCAAATAAATGCTCTTCTTTTAAACTTTCTATTGATCAAACCATCCTGAAAATGTATCACAATTTCCATAAAAATATTAAGAAGCAACTGTTTCAACATTGGAAATAACAAGAAATGTTTCTTGAGCCCCAAATCAATCAACGTAATAGAATTAATTTCTGAAGAATCATGTGACACTGAAACATTCAAAAAATGCTGTGGCCTACTTTTCTAATAATTTAATGGCCTACATTTGGCATGTTTTTGCATGGTGTCTGAGGTATTTAGCTGTCCTTTCTGGTATCACCAGATTGCTTTTTTTTCTCCTCTGGACTTCTCTATCTCTATTTCTGTACATACAGAGAGAGAGAGAGAGAGCAGCATGTTTCAGCACCCCTCACCCAAACACACACACTTCTTTTCTACTGCACTGTTTGCTCTACCACTTTCCCTTTTCTCTCTCTTCGTCTCTCTACCCCATCGTTTCTTGGCTGTGGACAGCATTCCCCCCTTGTGTAAACAGGAGGCTGGTGTGCGTAGCGGGCCCGGCAGCAGCCTTGTCTAGACAGGGTTTCCTCCCCTCTGTTTATTTAGCCTGCTATCGCAGAGCTGATGTGTACCTTCAGGAGTGGATTCAGGACCCGGACACCCCCTCATCCACCGGCACAGATGCCACCCATCCCAGATGTCGATGGGGCGATGGCGGCACGAGGGTGGCGGAATCGTCAGACAAGCTGCATTAACAACAGATCTGTTTCCCCAAACTCACACAAACAAATGTTGTACACCTCCACTCGCCCACCTAACTGGGACAGACGCACGGTAAACGCGCTCTGATTCCAGCACTGATTTGGGTGAAAACATAAACATAAAACTTTAACGGTTCTTCGCACCCCTCCTTCATTCACGCCCCCTGTCCTTTTCTCGGTCTCGTGGTCCACGCTGTCTGTAACTTTCCTCAGACTTCCCCCTCAGGCCAGATGTGGATCCCTATCAGAGTGTTTGTTCAGTCTCCTCCTTGTGGTGGCAAGCAAGCGCTCCTCACTAAAAATATCTCAGACACCTAGCAGCTGCCAGAAACCCCACCCTGCACCAAGTGCACTCTCCACATGAACAATGTAAGCATTCAGAGGGCCGATGGGTCCACAAACTGAGACTTGATAGACGTGGTTTTGTATGTTCTTCTAGCTCTCAGGTACTAGGGGGTGGTTTTTAAAAAAAAAAAAGTGCCTAAGGACATGTAGTGGGACTAGTTGAGACGACTAGTGATTTCCTGATTCATCACACATCATGTCATTCATGATTCAGTTCCTAGTATTTATAGTTTATTCATATACATATACTAATTTTATATTTTTTTATTATGATATGCAATAAAATTTGAGAAATCATTGCTGAAAGCTTGATTTTCTGCACATTTTAGTAATGGGAGAAATTAATAAAATTAGGGATATCTCATCCATCCATCCAATTAATTCACAATTTATGAATTCTTAGGATTTTTTTAGAAATGTTATGGCTGTATGTTTGATTTTATACATGTTAGTAATTGGTGTAGTTGAAAAAAAAAACCTGTTAAGTAGATTTCAGGAGTGTTCATATTTTGGCCAAAAATTTGATTTAAATACAAATTATTCTTTACAGATAATATTATCATGCTATATTATCATTATCATAACATGAACTACACAAGTCATAGAGACCACTTTGCAATACACTAAAAACCAATCGACACCTTATAGAAATCACAATGCAACATACTAAAAACCTCTTTGAGCATCACAGCAACTTTTACATTAGCTAGCACCAGTCAATTTCTTTTTCAGATCTGTTTTTATTATGAATGAATGATGAATGAATGATGTATTTGTATAGTGCTTTATTGTGTATTGCTGTACACCCAAAGCGCTTTACAATCATGTGGGGGGGTCTCTCCTCAACCACCACCAGTGTGCAGCATCCACTTGGATGATGCAACGGCAGCCACAGTACAACGGCGCCAGTGCGTTCACCACACACCAGCTACAGGTGGAGAGGAGAGAGAGTCATAGAGCCAATCAAGTGGATGGGGATTATTAGGAGGCCATGATTGACAAGGGCCAGTGGCGGCAATTTGGCCAGTACACCGGGGTTACACCCCTACTCTTTACGAGAAGTGCTATGGGATTTTTTGTGACCACAGAGAGTCAGGACCTCGGTTTAACGTCTCATCCGAAGGACGGTGCTTTTTGACAGTATAGTGTCCCCATCACTATACTGCACTATTATGCACTTCTGTGCAGTTCTGTATTTGTGTTTTGTATTTATCATTTCAAGTTGTTACACTGTTGTTGCAAAAGGCATTGTGGATGGCATTCAGAAGTGGTGCCTAAATAAATCCTCAATCCTGATATTGATTCAGCCCACTCCATTTCAACAGGTACTTGAAGAAGACTAACTGAATCTTACCTTTGTCTGAGCTGATCTTGAGATCTCCTTGAGTTGTTTTAGACTGCCATTTTTATGTTTAAGTTTCATGACAGTATGAAAAGACAGACGATCATCTTTCCACAGTGTCTAAATGCATTTAATATCAGAACAGAGCTGTGCTATAAATCCTGTCTTTGGATAATGGATAGCGGGCAGAGCTGACTGGCAAGTTTTGCCCATCTTAGACAGAACATTAATGATTTTATTTTATTATTTTTTTCCTGAAATGTCAGCCTTCTGACAGTGAGATTAATTCACTCTGACTGGCTGACAGTTCTGTTCCCCTGTTAGATTAACACATACTGCATCTTTTCAAATTTAATATCTTCAATTTTACTTTTCGTATGTCTGTCGTAACAGCCTTTACTGCCTTTGTTTTTTGGTCTCGGCACAAAGATGTGTATTGTTTTTGAAGTTTATAGATAGTACCCTGTGTTGAGCAAGTCAGAACACTTTGGTTTGTTTGCTGTCTTCAGAAAGACCATCCATGTTTTGTCTTTGGTTCTCTTTCTCTGTAGATCCCCTCAAGACAGCCCAGGGTTCTTTGTGTTTGAAAGCCTACAGGTTGACCCCAAAACTCATGGAGATCTGTAAAGATAAGGACTTCTCAGCAGATGGGTAAGCCTTTAAATCCCTGGGGCTCAATGAAGTTAATGCAGATGAACTAGTGTGTGTGTGTGTGAGAGAGAGCGAGCGAGAGAGAGATAATTTAATATTCTTAAAGTTAGTATTGTTATAATATTACAATATATTATATACTTATATGTAAATGTTGTAAAGTTTACTTTTTTTTTACTTCAGTTGGACTGATATTAAATATAGAATTTTCTTTAAAAGGATATATTTTTTATTTTTTAAATGTATTATATTATATTATTATTTTTGTATATTCTTCCTAAATGTATTTATAAAGGTGTCTTATAACTTTTTTTATTTTACATATTATTTTACTTTTAAGTTATATATTGTTGCAGTCAAAATCTAGCATTTTTGTATTGGTGGATGATGGATTGGCTGAGAGTCTGGATAAAGGGTGCATTCCCTTGTTTACTTCAGTCTTCCTTGTGGTTTGGTTTGAGATTTTCTCTTAAAATTCTGATCTGAAAAAATAAAAGATCAAAACAAAAACTGCCTTTTGAAATCAGTCGACTAATCAGCCTAGAGTGCTTGTCTAATGGAGCGATTAGTAATGGAGACGAGTTGAAATCATCCAATCATTTAATTAGAGTGATCTGATCACATAGTGCCTCTCACTCCCACATTGCAGGAGACTCAACCACAAGCAGATCCTAATAAGGGAGATAAAGTCAGAAAATGATTGGGAAAGAGTGGGGGAAGTAGAAAGGGTGTTCAAAAGAAAGGTAGCTAAAGAAAGCAAGTTTGCTGTGTTTTTGTCTTTATACACAAACATTTCGATTGGTTTTCAGTATGATGGGTGGCACTGCCCACTGTGAATTCTGATTTGGCCATAATCCTGCTCCTCCTGATTGGCTATGATTGTCAAATCGCACAGCCATTTCACTTTCAAAATCTGTCTGACAAATTGCTTGAAATTTGACATTTTGTGCCTAGTTTGGTCAGAGTGTTGGCTTGCTGTTCCCAAAAATGGGATGTCAAATCTTTGACGGGGTCACTTCCAGATTCTGACACTTGTCAATGACAATGAAAATGTCTTTTCTGTGTGTGCAGGCTGAAGAAGGCTAGTGTGGGTTTTGAGAACATGTTCGAGGAGGTGCCCATTGTCATCAAGAACTCTCATCTCATCAGCGTTCTCCTGTGGGAGCTGGAGGACAAATCCACTGCTGCAGACAAACACGAGCTCTTGAACCTTTCCAGCAGGTCTGACCACACACACACATTACTGTACAAGTGAAGTATTTCCTAATGTGAACGAGGACATGTGTAAATTTATACTAGCGCTGAGACATCCCTAATGATGCTTGCTCACATTAGCAGTAACTCATCTCTGATGAGGACTAATGAAGAGGTCAGTGCCGCCCAGGTGATTTGCTCCTAAAGGACGTCTGCTTTTAATGGCTTTCCTGCTAGACTATCTAAATAAAAGGCTTTTCCTAACAGTGAAACTGTTCATTAGACAGTCCTCAAGACTTTTCTTGAACGTGAAGTGAACATTAAAATATGACAGTTCACAAGCAGCTTTACTCTTCATTCTGACAGAAGCTAGACATCTCTTACCTTTATCTGACAGAACAAATGTGGGGATGAATTTAAAGGCACAATTTTTAGGAAGGGTTTTACCGTGCATTAAAACCCACTGTCTCTAAATTCATCCCAAGCACCAACGTGACAATGGTGTTGACAACAGAACGTCAATTCTGCTGCACATTCTTTGCCTTTAACAGTAACATTTGAAAACATTTGCTGACGGCTTTTAAATCATGTTTTGCAATGTTCCTGTTTTTAATAGTATAGGTTTTATTTTGTGTTTGTGAGGACTATGATAGATTTCTGCAATAAAATATCAGAATCCGAATCAGAAAGAGCTTTATTGCCAAGTGTGTTTACACACACATTTAATTTGTCTTGGTATCAGGAGCTTCCAGTACAGAAAGTACAGACATAGTGCAGACATACATATAATTTAAGGTAATAAAACACTAATAATAAAGAGAATAGACAATACATTTAAATAATAATAATAATATAGTAATAAAATATAGAAAAAAAGAAATTATATTAAAGTATAATATTAGGCCCATGTATTTGTTGAATGTCAGAAGTTTATTTGCATGTTTTTATTGAAATTTTTTTTTGTATACAATATACACTACTGTCCCAATAGTTTGGATTAAAATAGATTTATTTTAAATGAAGAAATACTTTTTTCAACAAGGATACAATTGATCAAGTGACAGTAAAGACACAATGTTACAAAATATTTCTGTTAAATAAATGCTTTTCTTTCAAACCTTCTATTTGTCAGAGAATCCTGAAAAAATATTAAGCAGCACTGTTTTCAACATTGATAATAAACAGACATGTTTCTTGAGCACAAAATCACGTTATAGTGATTTCTGAAGGATCATGGGACACAGAAGACTGGCATAATGGCTTATGAAAATATCTAAAAATTAAATATATTAAACAAGTTAGTAGTAATATTTCACAATATTACTGTTCATTATTTATTACAATCTTACTGTGTTTTTAACAAATAAATGCAGCCTTGGTGAGCATAGGATAGGACTTGTTTCAAAAACATCAAAAATTCTTACCGACCCCAAACTACACTATAGCCCAGTTGTGGCAAGAAATATTCTAGAATTATTGGAAAAAATTCAAATGAGTTTTCTCTGACCCTCAAAGAGATGATTGTCGTGAAGAACCTGTCTTGTTTTAACCATACTAGATGTATTTGTAGACCTTGCACTTTTCTGTGAATCCTGACATTGAGGGTTTAATGATGCTGAGTTTGAGTATTCTTGTGTAAACAGATAAGCTCTGTTTTGCATAGGTCATAACAAAGGGCAAACTCGCAGCGCTTGTTGAATCAGTGTGCATGAGGTCAGGCGGCTAAAACAAGCACTCGATTTGGGAATAATAATTGACACTTTAAAATCTAGTCTAAATTAGCTTAAATGATAAAATGACACTTAATCCACTCACAGTTTTTGGGAAAGATACAGGAGATGCAAGCAACACCATTTTCACTCCCATTTTGCATGGCTGCCTTGATCTTACATTGATTTGAGTTTTTTAGGAAGTCTTGTTTAATTTGGGTTTGCTCTATATAAACAGCTCTTTTCTGTGGAATATATAATTGAGAAATAGATGTTAATATGAGCGCTTTGAAGAGGAGCCGGCTCATTTTATGAATGATAATTTTCTATAGATCATTGTGCTGGTCAATTTTCTTCTTCAATTCCCTTGTTTGTCAGGGTCGGCCCTCAGTGATCTCGCAGATGAGACGATATATCAGATGCTATCAATATTTCACACACTTTTATTATTTCATTTCTTTTCCACTCTCATTTTTTCTTAATTGAAATTCACTCGCCATGTAAGGATCTGTGGGAAAGGGAGGGGAAGTTTGAGTTTCCAATTATCATTTTAATCTTTTAATTATTTTCAGAGCAGCTATGGTTGAGATGATGCTTTTTGGGACAGAAACATTCATTTTTGCTGCTGCTTTTGAATTGTCAAAAGTCCAAGAGGGGTTTGAAGGTCTCTCTCAGCTGACTAGAAAGGGAATATTATCTTTTTAATTTGTCTCTCTTAATTCGGCCTGCCAGATTTGTTTTTTTCCAGATGAAAGGAGGAACCTTCGTCGCGTTGCGGACGACTTGAAAGAATTCATTCATAATTACCTCCCTCTCCGAAACTAGAGGTTCACATGCGCATACACACAGATGCATAAACACTCACGCATGGGTAGATGATAAAAACATCAACAAGCATTATATTTTTAAGCATTTATGTATGTGAATGTTTAAGAAAAAGGATGTATTTTAGATGCTACAACTTCTTAAATCAAATATGATCTTTTCTTATTCAAGTAGTCCTGCGGTGTGACAATTTAATATTTTGAAAGTGCAGATATTCCAGGTTGTCTCTAAATTAGTATAATGTGAGTATAATATATATATAATATAAAAGTATAATATGAGGTCCTAAACAAGACATTTTATTTTATTTTATTTTATTTTATAGAGGGATAGATTCCATAAAAATGGTGTACGTTTATATAATACATTTATATAATTATATAATAATATTCATAATAATAAATTATAATAATAAATATTTTGAATATTACATTCCTGTTATATTAAAAAAAAATTTGTTTGCAATCCTTAAAGTAAATCATCAATGTGTATTAGACTTATGCTGCAGGTAACATATATACAATTATATATAACATATATATTTTTAATTAATTTTAGCACGATTTCATGGTTAAAAATTATTTGGAAAAATTATTTTTAAATGTTTTTATCTGCTGACAGTGTCAACAACCTGCGTGCCTACCATCCGTGTTTATAAACGCAGATTTTATTTTTTTAAATAAGTAAATACCATGAATGATTCTTTTCTCCATTTTTTTTTCCCTCTGTCTTTTCTTTTAATCGCTCTGTTTTCTCTCTCTCTCTCTGGACGTGATTTGCTCTTTCTTTAAACACCAAAATACCAGAAACACTCACAGACAAGGCGGATTTATCTGTGGCTTTTCTGTTTCGTTATTTTTCCTGATTTCTTTTTTCGTCTTTTTCTTCTTCCCTCCCTCCGTCGGGTTCTCCACATCTGTTTAAGTTATCTCTTTGCAGTCTGGTGTTACCCTAGAAACCAAAGCAAACACTGAACCACTGCAACCGTACTAACACAATACCTCCCTGTCTTTCCTCTCTCTCTCACTCTCCCATCCTTCCCAGCAGGCTCACTCCTCATCTGGGGGTGAAATTGAATTGAGATTTTTTTTTTTTTTTTAGCTAAATGAAATAAGAATTATGAGTTTTACAGTATTTTGGCATTGGGTCATGATTTGGGTGGGTGTGTGAGAATGTGTAAGTCTGGGGCAGCAACAGCCCCAATTTAAAAAATGAGCTCAACCCTCTGGTGGGTCCAGTGCTAGCCCTTCTCTATTCCTTTTAATATTTTCTTCTCTTTTTCTCTACCTTTTCTCATGTTCTTGGCACCCTGGTTCTCTGGCTCCCTTAAATAGTGTGTGTTTGCGTGTATTGCAGGCCAGATCCACATCAATGTCTTTAGTTTCCACAGTGATTTAGACTCACATACAGTGTATATATATATATATATATATATGTATGTATGTATGTACATATATCTCACCTCCCAGATATATCTTTGTTGTTGCACAAAGCTTGGATACCTAGGAAGGGGCTCATGGGCAGGAGTTGCTTAATCCTTCATGGCTGTCAATACAGTGTTGTTAGACTTCCATCTGGCCTGAAAGTGGCTCCCCAAACCGCTAAACTCCATGAGCCGCGCTATCCCAGAGCACTCCGGTGGACTTCATTGACTCTACTCAATGATCTGGAAACGTCACTGGAATCTGTTTGGCCTCAAGTCTCCCATTAATTGGCCAGGAATGAGAGCGGGCGCCTCTGATTGTTTCCTCCACATAAATCCAACCAATCTGCACTCTAGTTGATTCCAGTAATGCAAGATTGCTTTTTTAGAATAAGAGGGGTGTCTGTGAGCCCACAGTGTTTTTGTGCTTATCCTAACCAGACATGATGCCATAATGCAGTGAGTGATAAAAGCTATCTCTTTCGTTTTTACTGTGGTGTTGTCTTATTCGGCCTATTTTTTTGTCACTTTTTTTATTTACCCGTGTGACTTATTTTCTTTTGTGAATCACACAATGAGAAATTCTGAATAATGTACTGGTTGCTTTTTCCATGCAATTACAATGAATCAGGAATGGTTCAAGCTTCAAAAAGGACACCAAATGCCATGAAATAAAATAAAATATTTTATTTTATTTTATTTTATTTTTTATGTCACCTAGTGTTTAATTTAAAAAATCTATAAAATATTCAAAGCCTGAAGTCATACAAGTTCTGTAAACACCCCAATATAAGTTGATATTCTGTGCTTTTCTCCTCCAGTGAGCTGTTAACTGCTGCAGCCAGATCATTTAGTGAGCTGAACTCAAGAACTGGCTCAGTCCAAATCGTAAATCATTTAGACTGGTTTTGTGAACTGAATCAACTGATTCGTTGAGGTCTGACTCAAAAGAATAATTTGTTTCTGAATCAGGCATGCTGGGGTGAATGTCAAGATTAAATAACTATTCATTAAATAACTACTTAAATACATTTTTTTCCTTACACAAATCTGTTGTATAGATTCAAAAG